GTATATCGAAAACAAGGGCTTATGTATGGTATAAGGCTTTTAAAGAAGGCCGAGAAGTAGTAGTAGACTTGTCTCGTTCTGGTAGACCTTCAACCGCTACGACCAAAGAAAACATCGACAAAATCAAGAAGCTAGTGCTCGAAAATCGACGTATGAGTCTGAAGAGTTGGCTAGTGAGGTGAACATATCTTTTAAGTCCGTCCACAACATTCTCATTGACATTTTAGGCATGAAACGCGTCGCCGCTCGACTAGTTCCAAAAGAGCTCAATTTTGTTCAAAGAGCGCAGCGAAAGCATGTCGCTGAAGACATGGTTTCCCGAGCTTCTACGGATCCGACCTTTATGAAACGTATAATAACTGGCGACGAGACATGGGTTTATGAGTACGACATGCAAACAAGCCAACAGTCTTCAGAATGGCGTCTCGAAAACGAGCCGAAACCCAAAAAACCGCGGCAAAGTCGCTCCAAAATCAAGGTGATGCTGACAGTGTTTTTTGACTACCGTGGTGTGGTTCACTCCGAATTCCTTCCAAAGGGAGAAACAGTGAATAAAGAATATTATTTAGGCGTCATGAAGCGTTTGCGTGAGAGTATCCGCCGAAAACGTCCAGATTTGTGGCAACACAACTCATGGATGCTGCACCATGATAATGCACCATCACACACAGCCATTATAGTGAAAGAGTTTTTAGCGAAAAATTCAACAAAAGTTCTCGACCAAGCACCGTATTCACCTGATATGGCTCCGTCTGACTTTTTTTTATTTCCCAAGTTAAAATTACCACTTCGAGGAAAATGTTTTGAGTCGATAGAAGCCATAAAAAAAATTCGCTGAATGAGCTAAAGGCCATACCGCAAATAGCCTATGAAAAATGTATGGAAGACTGGGTGAAGCGTTGGAGATGTTGTATTGCAAGCGATGGGGCCTACTTTGAAGACGATAAAATAAATTTAGATGAATAATTTGTATTTTTTGTTTTATTGACAAATTCCCGATATTTAGTACACAGAATGTATATGTACAGATAACCGTGGTATCTGTAACAACAGTGAGTATTAGCACATTGCCATCATCGACTAATGGTTCATATGATGTGACGTTTATGTTATTTTTAACGTATGCTACCACACCATCATTCTGGTTAAATAAACGTTTAGTATAGTATGATGTGTAGGTGTCTATTTCCGGTATTATAGAATCATCTTTTAACCAACATTCAGTAAAAACTACTATGTCTATATTAATATTCAATTGTGACATGAAAACTAGAAAAGCGTCTAAATTACAATTGAGACTTCTTATATTAACACATAATACACAAAAGGAAGACAAGTTTTTATGATCAAAGTTTTTTACATCCCTACAAAGGTACTTGACTAGCTCAGTAGGACTTGACAAGCTCATACACCTTACCTCGTTTACTAGGTCAATCTCATTAATGATAGTTTCACTAGGAAGATTGAATTTTAAAAGTATTTATTTTGTTATGACTTATTTTCAGTGATGCTTGGGGATATCCTTGAATATATGGCATATATTGACATATTATTTCAATTGAGTTGTAATAAGTTATTATTTTTCTAACAGACGTATTTATGTGAATAAAAGAACGTGTATTTGTGTTGGTTTTAGGTGTGAAATTGTTATGTGTAAGTGTTGCTTTTGTGATAGTTATTGTATGAATTATGTGTATGTAAATGTTTTTTATTGTGTTGTATGTGTTACTTATGACTAACAGGAAAATTATATAATAAGAATAATTATAAAAGTAAGTTCGGTAAAAATAATAAAATAGAAAGTTACTTATTTTCAAGTTACATCGATAGTGAAAATCTAGTCATTTTTGTGTTTTTAATTTTAAAAAATCCGATTCCGATTCTATACGTATTGTTGGCGAGCCCTCTTCTCTGCGTAGAAATACCCTTCCATATGTTGTCCAGCAGAATTTAATTTTTTCTTGAGTAGCAAATTCTCTAGCCAAGTAGAATAATCTTCTGGTTTTAGTGCTGAGATTTTCCGAAATGTAAATTGGAGTCTTGGGCCCTCCAATTCCCAGATGTTCAGTGCTCAGTTTGTTGTGCTTATTTTCTTTATTGAAGGTTTTAACTGATTTGAGTAAACTCTCTTTGACTATATTTGTTATATAGTCAAAGAGTTTACTCTAAAATATATATATATATATATATATATATATATATATATATAAATATATATGTACAATTTTTTTGGGAAATTGGTTTTATGAAGAAAGGTTTTCATTTCCATGGGCAGAACCGGTATATAAAATATGACCACACATTTCCGTTACAACCCATATAATGCCGAGGCTATTTAGAAAATGTGGAAAATAAATATATCAGAAAATATTTTATACTACCATTTCGATAATGTATTTTCTGGATATTGTATACAATACCTAAACGGTACCAACGAAATATAAAATTAAAATTTATTATAACACCCCGGGTGATCAATGAATTGAGCAAATTATACCTGATTTATTGTTCAGACAGACTAAATCTATTTCGGGACAATTATTTTAGTAAAATATCACGAGGACTAAAGGAGCGTAGCGGAGCTCCTGCCTTAGCCTTCTGACCTAACCCATCCGAGTCAGGCTGCTCTGAGCTGAAATGTGTATAATACTATATTCCACACATCCTGTTCATTTTACGAATTATCTACAACTCCTAGCAATTCTATATAATAACGGATTTCATAGATTTCTAGTAACATATGTACTATAATAGGAACGATAATTTATAAAAAACCTTAAAAAAATAAATAAAAATACTTTCCATATTAAAATTATTTATTGAAATTTTACACATCATGTGGATAACTCTGAATAAATATTTTCAACTTCTGACTGACCCGTATACTTTTTAATAGTTGCCATTAAAGAAGACCTATCCTGAATTTTTTTAAGTTTGGCGCACCAATTTTTGCTTAAGAATCTTAGTTTTCGTCTCAAGTATTTCTTCTTTAGTACACTTTATTTTCACTTGCACGTCGTCGTATTCACTGCTGACCTAAAAAACAAGAAACCTTTATGAAATCAGTATTTTTAGCATCTTACATAGTATTGCTCCGCTCATTAGGGTCGTAGCGTGATGTTAGACAGCCTTCCTGAGGAATTGGTTTTAAAAATGCAAAAAAATATTTTCAAATCTGACTGGTATGGTTCCAGAGATTAGAGAATTAAACAAAAAAAAAAAGAAACAAATAACTCTTTTACGTCATAATGTCAGTACAAATTTACATCACTTAATAGGTAACACATAATACACCGGAGCGCGACTTCGTGAGCACGCACAAATGAAGCATCAAACAAGAAGCTTCATGCTTAGTGTAGTAGTGACGGTTACCACACTGCGACTGGCTCTAAAGAGTTTAAATATGTATGTGTTTTAAGCTATATAATACATTATGTAATGTAATATTAAAGTCATAATAAATACAAATAAAAGGTATGTATTTAGTAATAAAGGAAAAGGAAACTTACAGGTAACTTGTTCAGATTGCATAAATTTTCAAGAATTTTTCGACATTGTTTTTACTAGTTTGGTCTTCAATATTACAGCCAGTACATTTCACTCCTGTTTCCTTAAGTGTAGAACTACTTTCATTAATTCCAGAACTAGTGCTTGGTACAGCCAGAGAAGCTATTTGCACAATAGACTCTTCATATCATGCACTTGTCTGCAAATGATAACATATTTTACAAAATGTTGATATATCGCATGCTTAATGGAATACTGACTTAACTCAAAAAAGACGATTTTTGGGAAATCGCAAAATAAGATCTTGCAATGAGGACTTATCCTACTTGTTGATGCATAAAAATAAAACTGATTTATATTATTTATGAATGTTTGTATTTTGAACGTCTATGATTAACTATTGATGAGATCCGAGTAAAAAAAATCGGAAATAAGTTCTATTTATTTTAAAAAAAATATTTTAAAAAGTACATTCTAAGTTATGTCAGTTTTTTATAAAAAATAAAGCAAATATTTTAAAATGCAAATGTTCCATTAAGTTTTAAGTCTGTTTCAGTTTGAATAATGTATTATTTATAATGACTAATTCAGTATTTAGTCTGTATATGATTACTGTAGTAAAAAACATTTATAGATTGGGTCACTTTATTCAAATTAACAGACCGTAAATAAATTTATATTGGAATTTTTTTTAATTAATTAAAAGTCAAATATAATCATTAATCTTTATTGCAGCAACCTTCACAAGTAGCAGATAAAAATAACAAATTTAACGTATCAGTCTTATTAATAGGTTCTATACATCAACATATTATTAAAAATCAAGCCGGAAAATGTTTCCAATTGTACAAAAAAAAAACGCTATAAAAATCTAAAAATTCTAATTTACGTTAAAAAAAATAAACCCACTTTGGTGATCCAACCTATTTAATAAAACAATGTCATAATCAACTTTAGTTAAATCTCTATAAAACAAAATATAAACTTCTAGAGCGAACAAAATTAAACTAATCTCTAATATTTAATCACTTAAATAATAGAGTTATAAAAATCCGAATAAAAATTGGGGATCAAATTTTTTGATAATAGCTCTCTTAGATCTTTCTTTTTATTCTCACTTAGTTCCTGCTTATTCATGTAGACATTAGTTGGTACAATTTCACACAGAGGAAGCATTTTTTTCCTTTTATTTCTGACGCTCACTTCTTGGTATTCACTGTCTTTATACGAGGTTTTAACGAAAAATGAAAAAGGTGTATCTTTGCTCACTTTTATCACCTTTAATTCATTCCATAAAACAGTTCTCCCGTCTTTAGTTTTATTAAAATTACAACCCCAATCTTCTTGCAGTTTTTTCAAGTCTAAAAACGACTCAAATGTCAGTTCATGTACTGAAAATTTCTTGCCAGACTTCTTTGCGTTTTTAATTATGGCTACATATTGGTGAGGGGAATATATTGGACCGGATTTTAGGTTTTTTGTAATCTCCTTTTCTATGATGCTATGTAATATACATCACCCTCGTTTTGCGTATGACCTTTTATTAAGTATTTTTGAGTTATAGATTTAATATTTAGATGAGTGACTGCATACAGGTAAAGTGCTACTATAAATTTATTTTTATTTTGACCGGCACAGTTGTCCGAATAAAGAATTAAATTACACCCATTGTCATTTGGTGACTTCGCTGAGAGTTTCTCAAAAACTTTTAGCAAACAAGATCCGATTTCATTGGCCCCGCGCTTAGCATCGGTTTCGTTCCAGAAGAAGCAGTGTACATCATCATACGAGTCTTTAATTTGGCCGTCAACTTTTTTATTTAACATCGTAATTGTGAAATTGTAACTATTCAATTTTGATTTGTAATAAAATCCTGAGGTATCTCCTCTAGGAGATTGCAGAACAGCTTGCAGATCAAACACAAGAACTTTATTGTTATCATCTATTTTGCAGCGATCATACTGTTTTTCTTGGCGGCTCAATGTTTTTTCTTCTAAATGGGCATCGTACGATTCTTTGAGTAATACTTTTTGTTCAGGCGTCGAGTTCTTGTATTGCAAACATAAATCACATTGATCTTTTCTGGGACGAAAAAATGAAATATTATAATCTTGTGTAAATACTTTATAAAATGTGCAATATCTACCAGCTGCTTTATTATTTTTAATTTGATTTTCTTTAAAGTCCCTGAAAAGATCTGAAATTGTTTTCCCACCATCAATATATTCACGAGTAGAATATTGCCTAATATAATGGGATTCAATTCTTGGTATTGTATCTAGGAACTGTTTGATATCGTTTAGTAACTGTTCATCAACCCTTACATGGTTGTTGTGCTGTCCTCTCAGATCTCGTGCTAGAATTCCATGTTCATCTATTTTACTCTTGACAGTACGTATAACACGATCAGAAACATCTAAGGTTTTCATAAAAAACGTTTTACAGACTCGTACCGATTGCCCTTCTACTAAGAAATGGAATGCTTGATTGCAATTTCTTGGATTACGAGCATTTGTATATTTATATTTTGGAGTTATATTTGTCATACACGACATAATAAATGATCTTTGAGCATCAACTTGGCCGAGATTCCAATACACATCAAAAATTGTTTGTCTTTGATCTACAGTTATCTTTTTACAGCATTTGAGCCTACATTTATCACCACAGGGTGGTTGAACAGAACGAGGTTTGATTTGTTTATTTTTCTTGCTAATGTATGGTTTTCCAGCATTTCTCAGACTTTTAGCTTCATTCTGTTTCCAGCTTTGTTCATTCCGTTTACGTTTCCTTCCCTTCTTCTTTTCTTCTTGTGGTGTAGTATTTTCTCCGACTTCTCGATTCAGCAAAACTTCTGTTGTTGCAGGTTCATTAATGTTTATTAGCTCGGATTGTTTTTCTGCGGTTACCTGAACTATGTTATCTTGTGTTTTGTTCTGTTCATCACTAGAGTCTGTTTCGGAACTATCACTGGAAGATCCTGAAGATGATGAGGATGAAGAAGACGTAGAAGATGAGGAACTTTTAGATGATTTTGATCGCCTTGGATATACTGGTATTTGCCGTTGCTTATTAGACGGAACTTTGTATGTTGGATCTTCGTCACTTAAATCGACATCGCTATTTTCAGATTTTGAATGTCTCCCATCAGTGCAATCCTGAACAACTGTGATGTTATTAAGATGATTTTCATTACTGACTGAAGCCGATTCCGAAATTTCAAAATATTGCTGTACGTTTGAGTAACGCTGATTTTCGGGCTTGTTTGTTATATCAGCTAACATCTATAACAAAAAAAAACGTATTTATATATATATATAAACGTATATATATATATATATATACAAGTCTAATTTTTATAGTTATTTGAAATTGTTACCTTCACTTCAGTTGATGGCACCGATTCATGTTCTCTAACTTGTGTTGCCCGTTGTGGCGCCGGCTTTCGAAGCTGAACAAGCTCTATCATCTTTTTCGACCTGTTGGATGCCATTATCAACCTAAAACATAAATAGTAATATTATGCCTCTTGTACAAAATTTAGACCAACAATGACTTAACATAAAACATTTACAGGCAATGAAAAAATTACGCATTATATTACATTCATTTTTTTTCAAACAAAGACTTAGCTAATATTGCGGCTCTTATGTAACAATAACCTTCAGTAATAAACAGACTTAAACTTGAATGTTACAAAGTGTTACCTTTTATAATTGATAGGTTTTAATAGTAAACTGACTTAACTCGTAATGGGCCTCGAAAAGTATAACAACGTTCAATGATAAACTGGCTTAAAACTGAATGTTTCCCATAATATATCAATAAAATATGTAGTAAACTGACCTAAAATTTAATTTGTCAATATAAGATTACACGTTTTGATGAAACTTACCTTTGAATTTAGTTGTAAACACACGCAACAACGATTGGGTCTTCGTTCAATAAAATAATTATCGCCTCACTAAACCGATGTCGGACACAAACTGACATGAGTCGCTTTTCGACGAAAATACGATGACAGATCCCACAAGTGTGAAAGAGACGGATATATCGCTAGGGCGGCAAAAATGCGTAACCTCAACGTAATTCAAACGGTAGACGTTAGATGGCGCTAAAAGAAGTCTGTATCTGTACGTAACTCAATTCCGACATATTTCATAATGGGTCATTGTTCCATTAAGCATGCGATATGTATATCATACATTTAAACTACTACATTTCTAAATACATAATATATTACGAAAAATAGATAATTAAATTATATTAAATTTTTACCTTGCCTGGAGATACTGTTTCTTGATTTCTTATAACAGTAGGAACTGCTGTTGGTTTTAAGCGCCTTGTTGAATCATAATCTGATTCTTGAAAATGCAAATTGCAAATCCTTGCACTTTCATAATACTTCATTTTCAATGGTATAATGGATAACAACAAATTTCTCCGAGTACTGTTTTAGGAAATCTAAAAAAAAATATTCGTAATTATTGTAAACGTTATTAAAGTATCAGCATAATGAGAAACAAAAACTAAGTAAAAATAAATTGTCTGCCAAAAAAATATATTGTGTTACTAATTTTTAATTTAATATTATGAAATCTATGAAATCCGTCATTATATAGAATACATAGGAATTGTACATAATTCCTAAATTTCATGCATTTCCGGTAACATAATAAGAAACATGTACATATAATTAGTTAAGGTCACACAGAAAGTCTCAGATACATCGTCAGTATGGCCACACTACTTCAGTACGATTTCTTTTAAACAAAAACAATAAAATTATTCAAAGTCAATTAAATTCAATGTAAAACTATTTGATTTTGACAAAGTTATAATTTACTAATATGTTTAAAACACTGATAAAACGTTTCAGCAAAAAAATTAGTGAAAATACAAAGTAGTATGTTTACAAGTATTCAATGCCAGAAGTCACTATTTAAAGACTTACGTGTGAAATCTTATATCACTTCCTGGACACCAACTACTGTCGCAACTACGTACTACACTAGTTTGCACCATTTCTTGAATTATAACAATAATTATCTTTAAATATCTCAAAGGACGCTGTGAACTGCAAAATAAACAACCGCCATATTTATGTAATTTATGTTGATTTTTTTTTTGGAGTTTATGGCCTGGTATCTAGACCTTTAGGCCAAGTCTTAAGTATTTTTATTCGGTTTATTGTAATTTCCCCACTCCTTCATAGTATACTGCTTCACAATATGTTGATGCGTCACATTGTGCAGTTCTTGGGAGATTTTGGCGGCAACTTGATCCAGCAGACAGCTGACAGTTGGCGATGGTATCTAAAGGTGCCTATGCAAACAAACAGCTTATCTTGAGAATCCATCACCATCAGAGCACTTGTTTCACTGTTTCCACTAATAGTTCACATGTGTAGACACTTAATACACAAAATCGCAACACTTTTACATATCAAAGTCCACTTCAAACCATTATTTAAACAATAATACAGGAGCAGCAAACCGCCGCCGGTCAATTTCCCGCCAAAACTCTAATTTATGTTGACATATAGGGCTAATGTTGCCACATTACCGAACCCTTAGGAAATGGGATTGTAATTCACTGATTCGTTAACCCAATAATGCATACGAGACCTTCAAAATTTTATTTAATGTAACTAATCGTAGTTAAACTATTTATTTATTGGAACAATATTTTTCAGAGCTTAACTTCTGATTTAATTATTGTGGAAACTATTTCTAAGAATTTACCAGGAGATTTAAATAAAAACATAGCAATACTGTATTCCACACTAAAAAGAGAAGTCAGACCACAGAGAGTGAGATAAAGATACGTAGGTATTTGACTCAAGCTGTTGTTCCAAGTGTGGCCTCCATCTTTATCTATAACTTCATGGCTTTCACCGACGGGTTCACTGACAGGTTCACAGATGCTCCGCCTCCGTCTGGATACACCGATTGCGTAATAAGGTACGCGTAGTTGATTTTGTTTGGTTAAATCAGTGACAGGAGTAACGGAGAAAATAGTACGATGGCGGTGCGAAGCAACTACGTTATTTTGGAACTTTTTCACCGTGATGTTATTTATCACTCATGTCTAGATGCGACAGAGGGAAATAAATCAGATGGACAGCAGCTTCTTCCTCATAACGACTAAAAATAAAATACTGCGGTTTCCAACCCGCTTGCCAAGCGTGGCAACTATGACAAATATACCCTCTATGAGGCATATAGTGGAGGCCTATGTACAGCGGGGATTTTTATAGGCTGTAACGGTGTTTTTTGTAACAATGATGTTAAGTATGCGGTTAGGGAGCGAGTTAAACGGCCGGTAACTTGCTATGCACTGGTTTATTAACAGAGGGCGCGTGGGCACAGCCACGCATTGTAATACATACGTATACAAATGTATATACATATATAACAATTCCCCACCCTATTTTAGAATATAAGAATAAAAAAAATTATAATAAAGAAGACAACTATAACCTAAAAGAAACCCTTATAATTAACCTTGGGACGGCGGCGCAGTCTATTTCTAGTGGCTTCGATTCGACCACCATTAAAATCTGCTTCTGCTTCGTGGAACTTGTCGTCCTCCTCCGACCGAGGCGGCACAGGGTTCTCTGCTTCATCACTTTCCCCTCGACGTGGCGAACCTTCTCGATCTGCCGTGGTAACCCGGGGTTAGTAACCCGGGGTAAGCCGGGGTCTATGCTAGACGCCGGATGAAGTGGTGACGATGATGATGGTGATGGTGATGGTGATGCCGGCAGCAATGGCGGTGGTGTAAAAGTGTTTCCGGTGTCGCAAGTGTTCCCTTTCTCGTAAGCGTCCACGTCCCACACGTTATAGTCATTACTTTGAGATTTATATATAATATTGATTTTTATGTTTTCGATAACATATTTGCGTGTCCCAATCTTTTACTAAGTAGATAACTTTGCCAATTCTTTTTGTTATCGTTCCCTTACACCAGTTAAACTTGTTATTTACATATTTTTTATATAAAACGAAAGTTCCAAGTAGCATTTGCTTAATACGTACTGGTTCTTCCCTCTGTGGACATTATTGCGCATTCATCAAATCGGATGAAGCCGCAGACGTCGACAGCGATGACGTAGGTACCAAATGGGCAATGACACCTTAGTGGATAAACATACTTTTATAGGCAAATCGGAGGATACCAGAAGGGAACTGATGGAAATAAAAGAAGAATTATCATCCCTAAAAGACCAAATGGGTGGACTTCGAGAGTCTTCAGTTCTAGGCGAAACAAATGAACCTACATATGCCAGCATAGCTAGTCGACCTAAGGCCAAAATAAACAGTAAAATGATGGCTCCAATGCACTCTGTACTGGTATCGTCTGAAGAAGAACAAGACACTAGCGGAGATATAATAAATAAAATAAGAACAGCAATTGACGCTAAAACCACTGGGTTGAGAGTGGATAAACTACGGAAGGCCAGGGATCAAAAGGTAATAGTGGGATGCCAGACACATGACGAAGTTCAAAAAATTGCGGAAAGAATCAAACGAGCATCCTCAAAATTGCTAGTACAAGAAGTTGAGAATAAAGACCCTCTGATAATTATGAGAGATGTTCTATCTATAAATAAAGACGAAGATATTCTAGCAGCTCTGAAAAACCAGAATAAGCAACTCCTATCCGATATACCAGATGATCAATACAGAGCAGCAATTAAATATCGGAAAAAAGCTAGAAATCCGCATATTAATCATGTCGTAATTCAAGTATCCCCAAAAGTGTGGCAGAGACTGACAACAGTGGAAAAAGTCCACATTGACTTGCAACGTGTAATAGTAAGAGACCAATCACCGTTAGTACAGTGTACGCGGTGTTTGGGGTACGGTCACGGAAAGAAGTTCTGTAAAGAGACACAAGATTTATGCAGCCATTGCGCCGGACCCCATGTTAAGGACGACTGTCCATTATGGGCAGTAAAAGAACCACCGTCATGTCGCAATTGTTTGCACGCAAAAAGCGAAAGGGCAGACCACAATGCATTTGACGACAGTTGCCCTATCCGAAGGAAATGGGACGCGATCGCGAGATCGAGTGTAGCGTATTGCTGAAATTGAAACAACGAATTATGGGACCACCAGTGATGAAGAATCATTAAGAAATCCACAGGACTACCATATTATACAGGCAAATCTCCAGAGGAAGAAATTAGCAACTAAAGAGTTAATGATAGAAGCAGAACAAAGAAAAATTAATATCGCTTTGGTACAGGAACCATATATTGGTGCATTAGGGGAACTTAAACAAGAAAAAGGGACAAAAGTAATTCAGTGTACAAGAAACAGAACTAAACCTGTAAAGGCAGCAGTAATAGTTTTTGATCAAAATATTAATGTCATAGAGGATCCAACACTCATAACGGAGAATATAGCAGTAGTTCAATTAAAAACGAATAAGTGGGAATTAGCAGTCGTATCGGTCTATTTTGAGGACAGTTTACCTATCGAACCCTATCTCGCACAACTGAAGACTATCATTGAGAAACTAAAAACAAAATACATACTAATAGGAGGTGATTTCAACGCATGGAGTACGTGGTGGGGAAGTGCTAGGGAAGATCATAGGGGAGAGGAATTGGCAGGAATGATAGAAGATACAGGTATGCACATATTAAATGAAGGAAATGAACCCACATTTGATACTATTAGGGGTGGGAATATTTATCAGAGTATAGTAGACGTAACAATCAGTAGCGAAAATTTATTAAGTAAAGTGAAGGATTGGAGAGTAAATAAAGCTATTATAAGTTCTGACCACAACTGTATAACATTTAAACTAGTTTTGTTAAAACCTACAGAAAATAATAATTTTAAAAGTACTAGAATATATAATACTAAAAGGGCGAAATGGACAGATTTTAAAAATAAACTATGTGAAACACTTAAAATGAAAAATATTAGTAGAAAAGAGATAACAGAACTAAAATCAAAGGAAAAACTAAAGACTACAATTAATACATATATACAGTGTGTTAAGGAAGCAAGTGATTCGAATATTCCAAAAATTAAAACTAGAAATAAAATAGCTATACCGTGGTGGACAGAAGAGCTTAATAAGTTAAAAAAAGAAATGACAGTTATGAAAAGAAGAATATCGTATTCTGCCTCTCGCCGGCGTCGATACGTAGTAGAAAAATATTTGGAGATAAAAAATAAATATGAAGAAGAAGTAGCACAAGCACAAATCAACAGTTGGAAAAAGTTTTGCAGTAAGCAGGATAGAGAAAGTCTGTGGGACGGGATCTATAGGGTGATCAGGAAAACATCAAAAAAACACGAGGACGTACTGCTAATTAAGGAAGGTAAATCGTTGGATGCAGAGGAATCAGTGAAATACATGGCGGAGACATTCTTCCCCGATGACAATTTGGAAAACGAAATACCAGAACAATATCATACACGAATGAAAGCAAACGAAATGTGCACTCAAACTACAGATGATATTTGGGATGTTCCATTTACAGCAACAGAATTACAATTTGCTACCAGTAGCTTCCATCCAAGGAAGGCGCCAGGTTCAGATGGCCTCACGGCAGACATCTGTGCAGCGGCGATAAACGTTGATGAGCAGATATTCTTAGCCTTGTTGAACAAGTGCTTAGAATTATCATACTTTCCGGATCCATGGAAGGAAGCTACTGTGTTAGCACTTAGAAAACCGGGAAAAACAGATTACTCTCACGCAAAATCATACAGGCCAATAGGGCTCCTCTCTGTTATGGGTAAGATCTTAGAAAAGATGATGGTGAGAAGATTAAAATATTACATTCTACCAAAATTAAATCCACGCCAGTATGGGTTCGTTCCACAGCGCTGTACGGAGGACTCCCTCAATGACTTGGTATTACACATCAAGAATAATCTGAGAAATAAGAAAATAAGTATCGTAATATCCCTAGACATAGAGGGGGCTTTCGACAGCGCGTGGTGGCCGGCTATTAAAAATAGACTGATGGAGATAAAATGTCCTGTGAATCTACGTAGATTAGTAAATAGTTATTTTACAGATAGAAAAGTTACAGTTAGATATGCGAACGAAGAATTTACAAAAAATAATACAAAAGGGTGCATTCAAGGCTCGATTGGTGGTCCCATGCTAAATGAACTAGAAGAGCGTGGAGTGTACTGCCAAGCCTTTGCTGACGATATCGTTCTGATCTTCTCGGGTCACGTGACAAGCGATATTAAAATAAATGTAGATCAAACTCTTTCACACATATATGAATGGGGATTAAAAAATAAATTAAAATTTGCTCCACAAAAAACTTATGGTATGATAGTAACGAATAAATTGAAGTATGAAACCCCACAATTGTTCATGGGAGGTAAAGAAATAAAATTAGTAGATGAGATAAAAATATTAGGCCTAATCATCGATAAAAAATTAAAATTTAATAGTCATGTTTCCTATATTTGTCAAAAATCCATAAATATTTATAAATTACTGGCTCGTGCAGCAAAACTTTCATGGGGACTTAAACCTGAGGTGATCAGAACGATTTACGTATCAGTTATTGAACCAGTTGTAATGTATGCCGCAAGCGTTTGGGCACCAGCAGTCCACAAAATAGCAATAAAAAACCAGTTAAACGCAGTGCAGAGGGGATTTGCACAAAAAATTTGTAAATCGTATCGCACGGTCTCACTAAACGCAGCTTTGATACTCTCAGGACTACTTCCCTTAGATCTAAGGTTACGCGAAGCTGCATATTTGTATGAAGCAAAACGCGGTAAACCAGATGACAATCTACTTAAAGACAGAGAGATCGAAGAAAAAGTAAGTTTTTTGGAAATGCTACATCCGGCCTGCGAAGAAAAAATCGACTTTGAAATAATAGAGAATACAACATCAGAAAAATTAGAGGAACCACATACAAGTAGCGTACAAATATTCACTGATGGAAGTAAAATTGAGGGCAAGGTTGGAGCCGCAATCTCTATTTGGAGGAATAAACAAGAAATAGACTATAAAAAATTCAAATTAGATTCATTTTGCACTGTCTTTCAGGCTGAACTTTACGCAATGCATCAAGCAATTCAAAAAGCAAAGAATTACCAAAGTACTTACATATACAGTGATTCAAGATCTGCACTGGAACTCGTCAAAAATCAATCAGCATATCAACCGTTGGCTTTCGAAATTAGGCGAGATATCGCTAAATTAAGAAGTCAAAATAGGAGGATAGGGCTGTATTGGGTTAAAGCACATGTAGGTATTCCCGGTAATGAACGCGCAGATGAACTCGCAAAGGAAGCAGCTTTAAAATTAAAAACAAAATTAAATTACGCAAAATGTCCAATTTCGTTCATAAAGAACCAAATTAGACATAAAACAATTAAGGAATGGGATGAGAGATATTTAACAGAAGAAAAAGCCGAAATTACAAAAGTATTTTTTCCAGACGTAGAAGCAGCATATCGCATCCTAAAACACATTAATTTAACGCCAGTATTAGTACAAGTTTTCACAGGTCATGGAGGCTTTGCAGATTATTTGTTCCGTTTTAAAATTAAA